TGAAATCATTTCCTCAGAATAAGGCAAAAGTGTCTACTCTGTCACTCTCGTTCAATATAGTTCTTGAAATCCTAGCCAGAGCAATAACGCAAGAGAAGAAATAAAAGGGAAATAAGTAGAAAAGGAAGATCTCACATTATCCACATTTGCAGGTGATATTCTGTACTTAAAAGACTCTAAAGATTCTACCAAAACACACTTACATGTGCTAAAAACTTTTGACAAAATAGCAGGATATAAAATCAACATTCATAAATCAGTAGCTTTTCTACATACCAATAATAAACACGTGGAGAAAGAAATCAGGTAAACAACCCCATTCACAACTGCCTCAAAAACTTAAGTATAGAAATAAAACTAACAAAGCAGGTGTAAGACCTCTACAATGAAAACTACAAAAACTCAAAGAAAAAAATAATCACTAGATAATGGAAGGACCTCTCATGTTTATGGATCAGCAGAATTAGTATTTTGTAAATAAATATACTACAGAAAGCAATGTACAAATTCAATGCAGTCCCCATAAAATTCCAATGTCATTTTTCACAGAAATAGTAAAAATAAATTCTGAACTTCATATAGAAGCACAAAAGACTGAATAGCCAAAGCAATCTGAAAAAAATGAGCAATGCTGGCATATCACAATGTACGATTTTAAATTGTACTATAGATGCATATTAACAAAAATAGCATAGTACATAAAAACAGACACACAGGTCACTCAAATAGAGAAGACTCAAAAGTATGCCCATCAGCTACAGCCATCTGATTTTCAACAAAGGTACCAAGAACATTTGTTGGAAAACAGACATTCTCTTCACCAAATTGTGCTGGGGAAACTGGATTTCCACATGTTTAAGACTGAAGTCATGCTCTGATTTTGTACACACTCTTCACAAAAATTCATTCAGAATGGATAAAATATCTAAATATAAGACTTGAAATCACTGTAAGATGACACTGGGAAATCCTTGAAACTATGCACATGGATACCACTTTTCTAAATAGGACTCCAATATTAGCTACAGCAAGAATTGGCAAATGGGACTGTATCAAATGAAAAAGCTTCTGCACAGCAAAGAAAACAACCAGGATGAAGAGACAACCTACAGAAGGAAGAAAATATTTGTCGTCTATTCATTCAGTAAAGGATTGATATCCAGAATATATAAAAGCTTCAAAAATTAAACACCAAAATATCATCAGTTCAATCAAAAAATGGTCAAATGTATTAGTTCTGAAAAGAAGAAATATGAGTAGTGATAAAGAAAATGCAATCAGAAACTACATTGATATTCCATATTTCCCTAGTCAGAATGGCTATCATCAAAACAAAACACACAAAGAAACAACAACAACAAAAAAACCAAGCAACAACAAATGATGGCAAGGATATGTGAGAAAAGGAACATTTATACACTGCTCAGAATGTATATTAATGCAGCCATTATCAAAAACAGTATGGAAATTCTCAAAAAACTAAAAATAAAACTTCCATATGATCCCATTATAAAACTCTTGGCCATAAACCTGAAGGAATACAAATCAGCATAAAATTACGATTCCTGCACACAGTATTCACAATATCTAAGCTATGAAATCATCCTAGCTATCTATCAGCTGAAGAATGAATGAAAAAAATGTGTCACACACACACACAATAACAATGGAGTTTTATTCAGCCATACAGAAGGATGAAACTCATGACTTTATATTGTGCCAAAAACGACATGAAATTATGTTGTTTGCAGGAAAACAGAGGGAACTGGAAATCATGTTAAGTGAAATAAGCCTGTCTGAAAAGTCAAATATCATATTTTCTCTCCCATATGTAGAAACTAACCCCCTCAAAATGATATAAGTGTAAAACAGGGGGACTGCTTAGAGGGGAGAGTAAGGGGGAAAGGAGAGGGTGAAGGAAGGGTAAAAAAGAATGAAGTACTGCTTACATATGTATGGAAATAGAATAATGAAACCCATTAAAAATTTTAAAAGGGGAGTGAGAATACAAAAGATTAACAGCTGGAGTGGATTTCATCACACTATAACACATGCATGGATGCAAAAATCAAAATGAAACCCCTTTGTACAGTTAATATACGCTAATAAAAATGACAATACAGTTTCCAGAATTTTTTAAATTCCTTATAAAACCAAGTTTTTACAAATTCCATAATAGTGTGTCAAAAGTTATGATGCAATTACCTCATAATATTCTTACAATTGTATACTTTGATAAAATTAAATGTAATATATTTTGTTTTCATTGTCAATTTTTATATAAAAGGAATGTATGCTTTATAAAATGACAAGTTTCCATGTTAATATAATCTATATATTAAATTACATACTTAAAATTACTTAAGAGCACATTTGTTTTATTTTGAAAGTGTGTACTAACTTCACAATGAAAATATCTGCACATATCTGAAAATAAAAATGTTTTTAACACTTAAACTCTGTAATGTTCCAATTACTCTGGAATAAGGTCAACTTCTGGGAAAAACATGGGCCATTGCATTGGGCTAAAAGGTCTTGTTAAGAGAAGTTATTAAATTAACTATAAAATATAAAAATATACCACAAAACAGTTATTCTTGAATATAATTTACATTATGTTACAATTAATGTTCATGACAAAATTATTTTGCAATGGAGTCAACATTGCTAAGCAGGTTAACAGCAGCAAGGTGTAGAGTGTAGACATATTGCAGGAATGACACTAAATAGGGCTGGAAAAATGCAGGATTGATATCCAAAGAGAAAATTCAATTAAGGTTGGGAAAAATATAGGCAATCTTTGGGCTACCTAGTAAACAACAAGGCTTTGAAGTAAAAAAATACACAAGGTCAGAAACTAGACAGAGGAGACACAGAAACCTACGTGTTTGTTATTGAGTTGTGTGAATTAGATGCTCCTAAAAACAAGCTATACAACACTAATCAGCAACATGTGATATATTTATGTGTTACTGGAATTTTTCAAAGAAATTTGTAAGCTAATTATTTTGTCTTCTTCCATTAGATTTTGATTTTTTTTCATTTATTCATATGTGCATACAATGTTTGGGTCATTTCTCCCCCCCACTCTCCACCCCCTCCCTTTTCCCCTCCCCTTCCTTCTCCCCCTTACCCCCTCGCTTCCAGACAGAAAGTGTTCTGCCCTTATCTCTGATTTTGTTGAAGAGAGAATATCAACAATGATAAGAAGGACAAAGCATTTTTGCTAGTTGAGATAAGGATAGCTATACAGGGAGATTCCTAGCATTGCTTCCATGTACATATGTGTTACATTCTAAGTTTCTTCTTCTCGAACTGACCTTTTCTCTAGTTCCTGATCCCATTCTCCTATTGGCCTCTATTGCTTTAAAGTTTCTGCATTAGTTCCTTTGCATTGAGGAATTCAAATACTATCATTTTTTGGGGGGTTTCTTACCTACCCTCATTTTGACCTTATTCTTTTTGTTTGTTTGTTTGGTTTTTTTTTTTTTTTTGTAGTAAAAGTCATAGCAAAGTTTATTAGGAAAGGAATACACTTTCAATAGGACTGAAAGCAGATTGTATCTAGAGGGAGATAGACAATTCATTGTAAAGTCTTTTGGAATAGAGACACTTTCAGGGGTGAAGTGAGGTGTCACAGAAAGAGAGGTCAAGAATAACTGTTACTTTTACCCAGGCACAAGTTTTATTGAGATGAAAATGGCCTGGAGCATTAGTCCTTCGCCAGGAGGTTAAAGTCATGGTTAAGGTCCCATGGCTAGGGCTGGTTTGCAGATTTACAATGTGTAATTATTGGGGTTCACCTAATTTCCAAGGTATGGTTTAGAGGGCTGGGTCTTTGCTTTTTGTTAAAGATTGATTTTTCCAGGAACTATTTGATGTCTACCCTCGTTAGGGTGGATGAGAGGCTAAACAAATTCTTGTGATATTATATGATGTGCTATTTTGTTGATCTTATTCTTACAGTTAAAATCTTTGCAGAGAGGTACAAATCATGAGGTCAGGACAACTGAAATATGTTTGGGCTATGAATTAAACTGACCACAACTCGTACCTGAATTCCAATAATTGGGTACATTCCTCAAACCCCATATATACAAACCCCATTCTGCCTGATATTTTCAGTAACCATTTCCAACTCTTGTCTCTCAAGCTAACTCCTCTCCTCAGTAGCTAAGAAGGAATTTGTGTAGTGCTAAAATCTGATCTTTTCCTTCAGAGCCTCTAAGTCTGTATCTTAAGCCCAAATCCTTCTTCCGGATATTATTGGTCTGCTAGAATGGTCTCTTATTAATTACTCCTCGAATAAGCTATTATTCACACTTGTGTCTGGTCTTCAGCCTCTTGGCATTTCTCTTTGGCCTATCCCACTGTTCTGGAACCATGTTGAAAATGCCTTGCCCCCTTAACCATTTGCATTTTCCATGGTTCTTAGTTCAGTCCCTTGCATGTGCATGATAAAGGATGATTATCTGGATGAGGGACAGATTCATGACATGAGGCTGCAGGATATTTAAATTGTAATTGTTGAAGTTAATTTTTTAATTCAGTGATTGAAGTAACCAAGTAGGTTTTATCCTTAATCTTGAATGTTGCTGGTTATATATTTGGTAATGCAGTAATCTCTCACTGAGGGTTGTATTTCTAAAAATAATTTATTAGTTTTATTAAATCTTTTTAAAATGTCATTCTCAGATTTTTCAATGCCCTCATTTTCAATTTTTCCTTATTCTTTAATGTTTATTTGCGATTTTTATCATGTTTTTGTTTGTATTCATTTATTTTTCATGTTTTCTCTTTTTATTTAAAAATTTTAGTCAACAACATTCAGCCTGATACATCACAGTGGGTCCAAGAAATAAAAAACATAATAAAACTTCCAATTATCTGGTGAAAACTGAAAAAGTGTACTCCAAAAAGTTGAGTCTCCTTTATTAAAGTCTCCATTATTAAAGGTATTGAATTAAACACGAATAATGTTTACAATATGGAAACATTACCTGCTGAAGTTGGTTCTGCTTCGTCTGATGACATGTTGAGAGGGTTGGGAAGAGGGAAGGAGAGAGAAAGAGAACATAAATATGTTTCACATTTCTAAATATGACCACAAGCCCCTGACTTATAATTTTGGTCACACATTAAAAATCTTTCATTATCTAATGACAGATTTATGAATATTTACATTAAAAATTTAATTACATTAAATTAAAATATGCCCTTATACTTTAAAATATGTACTACAAAGACTTTTTCCTTATCTGAATTTGATTTTCCTTTTGTTTGGAAACAATACTGATCTTAGTTAATCAAAGGGTTATAAATAATATTACTTACAATATAAATTATTTATGATAGATAGATACCTCATCATTCATTTCTTATAAGCAAGGAGGAATTAAAGCCCTTGTAAATAATCAAAATTTTGTTCTATGAGATGAAAGTTATAAGATACAGATTATTGAATTTCAGAGTGACTGTCACTTTGAGTTTTATTAAACATGATGATTCCAATTCACACTCAGTGGGTGTCTCATTCTCCTTTTTGTCCCTCCTATCTTCCTGTCCCATGAACATACACACATTTTTTACTCACTCACGTGTACTACACTTTGAAAAGTTAGCAATGATGATTCCATGGTAAGGACACAGGTAAATATATTTTAAAGGATGGATGACCCCAGGTGGTTTTGACTCATGTGTTCTGCAACCCATACTGCAAAACTGGGAACCACAATAAGAAAACACAATTTTATCCTAGAGCAGTGATGTTTATTAGAATGCTAAGTTCTGGGCTCTGTTTCAAACCAATTAAGTCAGAATATCCTTAACTGGTACTAATTTATAGCCAGGATTGAGATATTACCAGGTAATATCAACATAGGTAACATTAACTGTAACTCATTTATGTGTGAATCATTTTGATTCCTGTGTTTGAAAGCAGCAAGACTCCAAGGCAGTAACTTACTGCTGTGTGTATACTGGTTATAGAGCAGGCAATTACAAGATTGAAAAACATAGTTTATATAAGTAGCTTCACAGTTTTGCCTAGAATCTACGTATTTACCTTTACACTTCCAGACAAGCTCTGTGAGGAGCTAAGTGTGCCCTGCGCAGAATCACAGTTTACCAAGAATATTACCAGTAAATTATATGACACAAGCCAGTATTATTTGATTCATGAAGTATTAAAGTGAAAATTTACCAGCTGAATTGCTTATAGAGGAGCTTTGTTTCCAGCTGATTTAATCAAGGTATCCCTGTGTAGCTTGGGCGGTCCCCACTGATTTCCATTAAGGTTACATCTGCACAGAGTCCACATTGCACAAGCTTACTTTGTGTCCTGACAGTATTTTCCTCTCACACTTTGGCTCGTCTCCTTGGCACATAAATGGAGAGACCAAACACAGTTGGCACACATGGCATTGAAAATATAAATATTTAAAAAGCTGTTTGCTGCTATGTCGTGTCCAAAATATATCATAACATGTTCAAAGAGGAAAGTTGTTGGTAGCTTCCAGGAATTCCCTTAAATACCAAAGAGACTTGCAGAAGTGCTGACTTAGATGAGTCATTTTTATAATCTTTTATAGTCTAGATATTCAAGTGGAAAAAAATTTACTTATGGTCAATCAATTTCTGTGTCAAGTCATTTAGTTCACAAAACAACTAATGAGATGAAAATTGATAGGGGAAGTCACAGAGATTCAAAGTGACTGAAAATTTTGTCTGAAACATGTCAATTTGAATTTTAGATTATGCGAGTTTAACTTTAAAACTAAACTCTTTCCATTATACAGCAGTGTTTAACAAGAGTTAACTCAGCGCCTACTTAGAGAGAAAGGACAAACCACGTGACTGACAAAGTGTTTATTTAGATTTGGTAATTACTATTTATAAATGTTAGAACATGGGATAAGAGTGGCCAAAGCCTTGATAATGTTAGTTGGCTTTAAGCATAAGGAGAAAAGAGATGAAAGAACGCAAGTCTGATGTAGAGGCTGAAGAGAGAAATAACATCAGGAAAAAAAAGCTCTTCATTGGTAACTTAATTTCTCTAACAATCCAGGGACAGAAATAGGCAGATCCTGACTATGGATTATACAAAGCACCCTAAGGTGCTTCATGTTCAAAAAGAAAGATTAGAAGTACAGAGACCATAGTCTTCCATTATGAATGCAGAAGCAAGAACTTTTAGGAAGTAGCTAGTAAGCATCAGCATAGCCACAATTATGAATCTATAGGACTCTTTAAAACCAAAGCCTAAAGGACAAGCAGGGTAGTAACCTACCCTTGAGCTTGCAGTATCTGAAAGCATCTTTGTAACAAATGAACAATATTAGAGTCAGCAGGTGCACAACTTTGCATAGTGTTCTATTTCTATGCACATTTCTTTACAATGGCTTCCTTCTAATGTATGGATGTCACTAAATACACACATTCACAGAGGCATATATACTAGAATTACTACCACCATTAATACACCTAATCAATCAATTTCTAGTTATTTGTGTGGCAATGACAGCTTTATAGGCTAACTGTTAACAGGAGGCAATGAGAGTTCCAGAGTAAAAATAAACCTCAAAGGTGGCATTAGTGGCCTATATGATGAAAATTCAGTGAAAAAAAGGGCCACAGAAGGTACTGTCATATATCAAATCGCTCTTTACTCTTCCTATTTGTTTTTAGATGTTACAAAATTAGCAATTAAAAAATAATCTGAGCCTGCACCACATTCAGTTCTCTTTAATATTGAAAGCTATAAAACAGGCAATAAGCAAAACAAAAATGAACAGCCACCAAAATAATGCTGTAATGGTCTACCAACTAAGCATTTAGAAGGATGAATTGAAATGACTGTGATATTAGAAAAACAGGCAGTAAAGAAATATATCCGATGTTCGGGATTTAACTAAGTGCAGTTCTCCCATCACCCTTAACAGATTCTCCCTGGGTGTGTGCTAAAATGTTTCAGGTCTAACGAATTTGAATTTTGGGTGTTAGCCAGGCTTCTGCATTTTCAAAAAGCTCTGTAGGTGATTTTTATGAACACTAAATGTAGAGAATTATGACTACAGACCATCAAAGTTTATTTCACTGGAAAAAAGCCATAGGTCCAGTTGTTGGAACTATCAAAGTAAATTCAAAGGCTTGTAAGAAACCCTTTGAAATGTGTACTGTGGTTGCTTCTAAAACTTTCCTTGCTCTTTCTCTTGTACTGTCTTCAAGTTTTGTTGGGTAACTACATCAATGCCTTGGGAAAGCTGATTTTCCTTTGGATATAAAGGTCTGTTCCCTTTTGTTGGCCACTGTCACTGGTCTAGGTATAAAGTTGTCCTTCTGTGACTACCAAGGGGGTAGTTCCAAAGGACCTCCTTAGATTCCAAAATCTGTGGAAGCTGAAGTCCTTTAAATGAAATGGCAGAGTGTATGCATGAAATGTATATATAACCTTCAGCATATTTTAAATCATACCTAGATTACTTATAATAACTAATGCAACATAAATTCTATAAAAATAGATGTTATATTTCCTAGTGAATAATGGAAATAAAAAATAGTTCATATATATTCTGTCCAAAAGCAACTTGATTTCTATTTGGGTCTAGTTGAATTTGCAGATGCAAAAGTCTCAGATACAGAGTGCCTATTTGGGATCAGTATTAGGGAGGGAGAAGTCTGCTTGCGTGGGGAGGATCAATCGGAAAGTAGGCCTCACCATTCTTCTGAGAATGTGTCTGGAAATAACCCATCCTCTAAGCCCTTTTAATGTAGACAAGGAAGTCTGTGGTCCTAGACATGGTTAGAAAACACCTTGTAACCATGATGGGAACCAGCTTTGAAAGAAGGCTGATCTTACTCAGCGGCAAAATGCAGAAAGGGAAATAATCTACAATCTTGATAATACTATTGAGCCACTGAACAACACTAACCATGAACCATGGGTCTACCTCTGGATTTCTAGTTCCAAGGAAAAACACATTCACTTTATTGTTCATTTAGTATGAATTGGGCATTCCCTTTTCTTCCTTTTAAATATATTAGGATTCATAAGAAATTAGTTATTTAGGACATTAAAACTCAAAGTACAAGTAGTCTCAGGTTGAGCTTTCAGAAGACAACTGGGATATCAGTGTTTTAATCTTTGTTGCTCACCATCATATTCTGATTCAATAAACACATTCCTTTGATTTTGAAGTTGGTCACTGTTTTATTAAGATCAATCTGGCTGTGCATTTATTCATGAAGTCAGGAGGTGCTTGGAAGGAGGAGAAAGTATCAAGATGACTCTCCTCTCCCTCATTCTTTTTTCTGAAGGTATCAACTTTGAAGTTCAATAACAGCCCAATAAAAGCAATAGGCTGTATATTACCCTCCCATACAAATGATATGACAACAAATAAACATCTTGACTGGACAGACTCTGCTCATTTTATTTTTTTGTCAGTACTAGGGACTGAATCCAGGGCCTCACACTTGCTAAGCAAGTGTTCTACTACTTGCACCACTTGGACAGTGCATTGGTTATTTTTATTGTTGTTTTATTTTTCAGCTGTACTAGAGTTGCCTTGGTTATTTTTAAGGTAGACTTTCACTTTATTCCCAGGTTGGCCCAGACCACAATCTTATTATTTAGGCTTTCCTGCATAGCTGGGATGACAGGCTTGTGCCACCATACCCAGCTGTTGGTTGAGATAGAATCTCACAATTCTTTTTGCCTGGGCTGGCCTTGAACTGTGATCCTCTTGATCTCCACCTACTTAATAGATAGGATTACAGGCTTGACAACCACATTTGGCTTGGACTCTGCTTTCTTTGTATGTTCTTAACAGTTCATACATATTTCATTTTTATCTTATCTTTGGGAACTTTAAGTAAACTTTTACTACTTGGATACTATATAGGTTGAAAATAATTCTGAACCCAGTATGGCTTGTCATCAAGCAGGAAACGCTCAATGAAATATAAAATATATTTTTTAGCATATCATAATCTGTTTTACATGTGGATATTAATTCATAATGAA